ATAAAATACTAAAATACCCTCTAACAAACTTAGGGGCTAAGGAAAATAGTACAACTAAATAAATATGAATTACTATTAATATTCTAATACCATCCCTTAATTCATATTCCATCAAAACTTATAACACCAATTCCATCCCTTAGTCTGAGAAATTGATCAGTCTTGATAGCTTTCGTCAGAACATCTGCCAACTGCTTCTGAGTGTTGTAGTGTACAACTTCTAACACTCCACTCTGAACTTGATGTCTCAGAAAATGATACTTGGTCTCAATATGCTTGCTTCTCCCATGCAACACTGGGTTTCTGGCAAGATTGATTGCAGACTTGTTGTCAATCATCAACTTCAGAGGTTTGTCTATTTTAATCTTCAGATCCTGCAACAGATTCAGAATCCACACAGCTTGGCATGCAGTAACAGCACCTGCAATGTATTCAGCTTCACAGGTTGACAACGCCACAACAGGTTGCTTCTTGGAACACCAAGAAATGGAACCTCCCAGAAATTTGAACAAGTACCCAGATGTACTTCTTCTGTCAACTCTGTCTCCACACCAATCAGAGTCTGAATAACTCAGAAGTTCTGACTCATTATTTCCTCCAGAGGGAAATAACACTCCATACTTCAGAGTTCCTTTGATATACCTCAGAATCCTGACAGCAACATGGTAATGGGATCACTTAGGTTTACTCATGAACCTACTAACCATCCCAACTGAGTAGCAAATATCAGGTCTGGTATTGCACAGATACCTCAGAGAACCAACCAACTGTTTGAAGGTTGTAGCGTCCACATCCTTTCCTTCAGAGTCTGAATCCAGTTTCTGATTTGTATCAGAAGGTGTGACAACCATCTTACAATTCTTCAGATCAAATCTCTTCAGAAGTTCTAATTCATACTTGAGTTGATGCAAAATGATACCTTTCTCAGAATATCTGAACTCCATCCCTAGAAAGTATGTCATTTTGCCTAAATCAGTCATTTCAAATTCATTCATTAGAACCTTCTTGAACTTGGTTATCTCCTGTTCAGAACTTCCAGTCACCAGTATATCATCAACATATAAACATACCAGAGTCATATTGCCTTCAGAAGTATGCTGAACATAGACACCGTACTCCATCTCACATTTCTGAAAGCCTTGCTTCTTGAAAAATGAATCAATCTTCTGATTCCAAGCTCTGGGCGCTTGTTTCAATCCATATAGAGCTTTGTATAATCTGTACACCATCCCTTCCTGATTCTTTTTCACAAATCCAGGAGGTTGTGACACGTAAACTTCTTCTTCTAATGGACCGTTCAGAAATGCAGATTTTACATCTAAATGCATCAGAGGCCAATTCCTGTTAGCAGCTATTGCAATCACCATTCTGATTGTTTCATGTCTTGCTACAGGTGCAAACACTTCAGAGTAATCCAGCCCAGGTTTTTGTAGAAATCCTCTTGCTACCAACCTTGCTTTATGTTTGCCAATTGAGCCATCTGGCTTTAACTTCTGCTTGAAAACCCATCTGACGCTGATGGCTTTCTTGTCTTTTGGAAGTCCTGTCAGCTTCCAAGTCTTGTTTCTCTCTATAGCATCAAGTTCTTCTTTCATGGCCTTCAGCCAGAGCTTCTGCTTAAGAGCCTCTTCTGTACTTATGGGTTCAGAGTCTACTAACATGGCACACTGAATAACTTCTCCTTCAGAGTCTACTTCAGTGTCTTGCAGCATGTCAAATTCTGCAAATCTTCTGGGAACGCTTCTGATTCTTTGTGGTCTCTGAACTTGTTCAGAGTCTTGAGCTTCAGATGATTGACTTTCTCCAGAGCTTTGACCAACTTCAGGATCTGGCATATTTCCAGAGTCTTGAACTTCAGAACTTCTAGCTTCAGAGGCTTGACTTCCTCCAGAGCCTTGGCCATCTTCAGAGTCTGAATTTCCACCAGAATCTGGATTACCATCAGAGTCTGGATCATCAGAGTCACCTTCATCTTCTGAGTCTTCTCCAGAGTCAGAATCACTATCAGAGTCAGAATCAACGTCAGAGTTTACTTCAACTTCAGAAATTCTTAACTATGACCTTTCTTCAGAAGTTCTAACATCAGAATCAGATTGAGACTTATCCCAATTCCAAACTTCTGATTCCTTCACAATCACATCTCTGCTGAATTCAATTTTGTTGGTTTCTGGACAATAGAGCTTGTATGCACCTGTACTGTGGTACCCTATCAGAATCATCACTTTGCTTCTATCATCCAGCTTCTGTCTTCTGGCTTCTGGAACATGTTTATAGCAAACAGAACCAAACACCTTTAGATGACTAACACTTTGCTTGTCTCCAGTCCACTTCTGCATAGGAACTATTTCCTTCAACTTCTTCGTAGGACATCTGTTGAGTACATACGTTACAGTGGCAACAGCTTCTCCCCAGAGCTTCTGAGGAAGCTTCTTCTCCTTTAGCATGCTTCTCACCATATCAAGCAAAGTACGATTTCTTCTTTCAGCAAGATCATTGTGTTGAGGGGTATAAGGAGCAGTAACCTCATGCTCAATTCCATTCTCCTCACAGAACTTCTGGAACTCTTTGGAGTTATACTCACCTCCACCATCAGTTTTAAGAATCTTCAACTTCTGACCACTCTGATTCTCAGCCTTCATTCTGAATTTCTTGAATTCATCAAACACCTCGTGTTTGAACTTAATAAGGGATACCCATGTCATTCTTGTGAATTCATCAACAAATAACACAAAGTACTTATTCCCTCCAATTGATGCTACTGGAAATGGACCACACACATCAGAATATACAACTCCCAAGGCATGTTTTGCTCTTGGAGCAATTTCTGACGCAAATGGCAAACGTGGTTGTTTTCCTTCCATGCAAACTTTGCATGACTTTTCAGGCTTCTTAATTGCAGGAATTCCATGTACCAGCTTCTTTGAATTCAGATGTTTTAGGCTTCTGAAATTCAAATGACCAAATCTTTTGTGCCACAACTCACTCTCCTTCTCAGCACATGTTGCACTAAGACATTCTGAGTCTGCAGTTCTGACATTTACCTTGAATGTTCTATTCCTTCCTTGTTCTGACTCCATAATCAACTTCTGATTGTAGTCATACAGCTTCAGAAGATTGTCCTTCATGGTAACTGAAAAACCTTTCTCAATTAATTGTCCCACACTCATCAGATTGCTTCTGATGCCAAGTACATACCACACGTCTGAATCAATGCTATTTTCCCATTGTTCAGAGTCACTCTGACATTTCCCATACCTTCTGCATTAAGATATTTGTCATCAGCACATCTGATCTTTGTCCTCTTTTCAGAGTCAAAGTCAACCAGCCATTTCTTGTTTCCAGTAAGATGATTTGAACAGCCAGTGTCCATATACCACCAGTCTATCAGATCATCAGATTCAGAGGCCATTAATAGCACAGATTCATCATCAGAGCCTCTGGCTATATTTGCTTCTTCTGATTTCTTCTCCTTGTTTGACCAACAATCTCTAGCAAAATGGCCAAACTTCTTACAACAGTAACATTGTATTTTTCTTTTGTCATACTTCTCTTTTCCCCTCTGAGCATTCTTTTGTCTATCAGAGGTTGAGCTTTCTGACTTCTGACCACCATCAGATCTTCTCCTGGCTTCTGACTGCTTCTGATACCTCCTATCAGAAGTTGTTTTCAGAGTCTGCTGTTCTACTTCCTTTTCAGAGTTTCTCTCAGTCAGACGCAACTCTTGCGCTTCTAGACTGCTCTGCAGCTCTTCAATTCTCATTGTGCTCAGATCTTTGGAATGTTCTATTGCTACCACAATGTAATCAAATTGAGGAGTAAGGGATCTCAACACTTTCTCCATGATTGTTTCTTCAGAAAGAGTTTCTCCACATGCCTTCATCTCATTAGTGATCAGAATCACTCTGGAGATGTATTCAGAAACTTTCTCATTATTCTTCATGTTGAGATTTTCATATTGCTTTCTCAAGGACTGAAGCTTCACCTTCTTCACTGATGCGTCACCACCATAACATCTCACCAGAGTGTCCCATGCAGCCTTTGCTGTTGTAGAGTCTGCAATCTTCTCAAACACGTTTACATCCACACATTGATGAATGAAGAACAATGCTTTCTGATCCTTCTTCTTTACTTCCTTCTGCGCGTTTTTCTGTTCATCAGTCGCATCTGCTACTACCGGAACATAACCATCAGTGACAAGATCCAGAACATCTTGAGCACCAAACAGTACACGCATTTGGATCATCCAACGATTCCAATTTTTACCGTCAAATACTGGAAGTTTGGTGTTCATGTTGCCGTTTCCGTTCATCTTCTACTTTGCACAATACACTCAGAGTTTTCTCACACAGTGTTTCCCAACCCACAGAATTAAAAAATTCTGATCAGATTTTGTTCAAGATTCAACAAGAATCTGAGAAACAAAATCAAACACACAAGACCTCACGTTCACTCGTGTTTCCCGTGTTTCCCAATAAATCTGAAACGGAGCTCTAGATACCAATTGTTGGTGCAAAGGTGAATAAAATGATGAAAGATAGAAATATTCTATTAAGAATGACGGCAGAAAACATGATAAAAGTTACAATGATTGTCACCCTATTTATAAGCTAAAACTAAGATTACTGGAATAAGATAAAATACTAAAATACCCTCTAACAAACTTAGGGGCTAAGAAAAATAGTACAACTAAATAAATATGAATTACTATTAATATTCTAATAATGACGGGCTCTCGAATGCTCAAAAGTAATTCTCCAATTGAAAATCATAGAAATAGATAAAAAAGAGGGTTGGTTATGCTCGTCAAAATCATGGACACTACGTAGGTGTCTTTTGCTGCTTGGTATATCTCCGACATGAACCTTACGTGGCACTCAACAGACATGCAAACGGCAAACATCCTCCACGCGTCACCTTCTACAACCTTTGTATTAGTAACCGCATATTAACATTCTATAAACCTCGTAGTAACCTAAAACGACATAACAATTTAAACATCCATGGAAAAGGAAATTCTTTCTGCAATTCAATCATGGGAAGTTCTTATCCTTGTGGCACATCACCTTGACCCCAAAACATTAGCCATAGCTTCATGCGTATCAAAATCATGGCTCCATTCTATGTCCTCTGATGAACTTTGGAAACCAATCGTAACCACCCATTTTCCTTCTCTTTCCACTCTTCCATCCGCGGTCTCATATTGTCGCCTATTCGCGTTAGGCTACTCCGCTGCCTTGCGCCGCCGTCAGACTCCTTCGAAGCCAACTCTCTCCCTCGGTGACCTCGTCTTTGTCTTCTCCATTACTTCAAAGTGCGACTCGTGCGTGGTTGCCGCCGCATCCATACCTGTGGGCGCACTGGTGGTGGATTCTCCCGGCGTGTTTAGTTTTGGTGTTGGTTTGGAGGACTGTGTATTGAGGAAGAACGAGGGTTTGGAGGAGGTGGTTAAGGTCACATGGAATGTGGTGGTGAAAGGATGGAGAGGGATTTTCACTTTGATGGATTGTGAGAGGAAGGTGAAATTTGTGATTGGTGGCCAGGAGTGGTTTTCACAGGAGCTTCCGGCCCCAAGTTGTTGTTCAAAAGTGGTGGCGAGTTCATTGGTGGCAGATATGAAGGTAGGGATGTGTGATAGTGGTGGGAAAGTGAGGGTGGAGAAGGTAAGCATGGGGATTTTGAGTGTTGTTGATTGGAGGTATGTTGGTGTTGAAGATGGTCTTAGATACTTGCAACATTTTCTTCTAACTTAATAATGCATTGTATTGTATTGTACATACATCATGTATAAATATCCTTCAATCCTAGGAAAGTTTTTCTGAGTAGAGAAACAATGATGCTAAATGAAAAATATCACCAATTACTGGTCAAATGTAAGCAAACATTCAATTGAACATATGTTTTTTTTATTTTTAAAACACAAATATCTAATAGATTCAATTGAACATATGTTTTCTAAAAACTCAAATAAATAAAAACATAACATCGGCATTCTCTAGCTCTAGCACCTTTAAGGACGTCGTGCTAAGGTGATACATGAATTTACGCCTCTCGGTCACTAGTTATCATGATTCGGTGAACGATTTAATCCACTACATCTCTACAATCAAGCTCGTTACTTTAAGCACAAGCACATGAGAGAGGGTGATTGTGGTATTTATAATCTGTTTGTTAGTAATTTCTGAAATAGAACAGCTGAAACAGTAAAAATAAATAACAAATTAAAGAGAAATTGTACTACAGTAAAAATAAATAACAAATTAAAGAGAATAGGGTTAGAGAAATTGTACTAGAGGGTTAACCGAGCGTTGGTCTAGCACTTTCTTCAAGAAATCTTCTTAAAAATTTGACTATAATGCAGGTACAAACAAGTGGGTCTGTTCCAAAATGCTGTCTTTTTTTGTGTAAGAGCAAGTACTTCTGGATTTGCTTATTGTTTTCACTTGTTTATAACCAAGTTTTGTTATGTTCATTTTGGTTCAATCCAAATTCTATTAGTAGGAGTGAAGAGTGTTTTGCTTTTGGATACAAATTGAAGATGCAGTTATTCGTGCTGAGATGTAGTATGCATCAACAGCTTTGGAAATGGAAAGAAGCAAGTTGGATTTAGCAGGAAGAAATGATGCGTGATTCGGATCTGTGTGATGACCCAACTAAATCCAATGACATTCTTGTCAACAAATATGGTGCAAACAATTCTTCTCAGCTTGAGGTGCAAACAATTCCTTTCATACTACCTATTAGTAGAACTGATTTTTAATAGAAATTGAAGATTTTTAATAGAGATTGAAGATTTATGAATAAATAGAGGGAATTGACTTTTTAATTAATTAAAGATTTATGAATAAATAGAGGGAATTGATAAAATAAAGAGAGGATGAAAGAATAAAATAAAACTAAAGGGGGTTAGTGAGAAAATAACTTGAATAAACTAGAGTTTTTTTTTTTTTTTTTTTTATAAAAGGAGAGAGATTTAGAGAACACTTCTTTTGAAAAAAAAGTGCAAAAATATAATCTTTCATCGCCAAGAATTAAAAGTTGTAGGTTTAACGAGCGAAGGGGTGAGAAGATTGTTCTTTAATGAGTTTTTAAACTTATGAATAATGAAGATTTTCTTTATATTTTTTTTTTATGGATTCTTATTCTTAAATGATGCGAGGTTTTTGTAAAATTTTTACGATTACTATGTCTATGTAATTCTCTTTTTTTTGTTGATGATGAATTTTTTGTATAAATTTATTTTTCTATTTTTAATATATAAAATTTAACTACTAATAAAATTACCATTTACCCTTAATTAAAGTAGTTTAGAGAGCTAATTTCATAATTTTAATTGTAATTTTTCATCCATAATCATTGCATTCTTACTAATTAATGCTGATAGTCCCTAATTTTATTCATTTTATTGGTTCTATCCCACAGTAACATTTATTGTTTAACGGAATATTTGCATTGGGAATTGCTGAACATTTTTTTTACTCACCCCATTCACCTTTCAAGACAACACCTTTCCTTCTTCCTTACGTAGTCCATTTATTTTCACTTTCTTCCAAATAAAACTCTCTACATTAAAAACAAAAAACATAAGCCTTTGAAAAACAATACATTTTGTTTTATCATTTCTCACACATTACAATTCTCTCTCTCTCTCATCTTGTCTTTCTTTTCTCCCTTTTTTCCTTAAATCATAAACCTCCGTCGTCGCCGTCGTTGCCGTCATCGCGCTTTCTCCCCCTGTTAAAAAGAATGAGATTTTGATTCACCATAACACAAAAAACACTTATGTCTCAGATGCTATCCCCTTATCGATCATCACTCAAACGTGCCTTTTTCTTTCTCACAACATTAGAAGCCATGAAAACACTCACTTCATCTTTCAGATTTGACTTCTTCAAAAACACGTGCTTCCAAATCTAAGAAATACCAAGAATCCAAGTGTAATAATTTCTTCATTTCTCTAATCTTTCATATTCTATTAAAAATTTAAATTTTTTTTAAGGTTCTTTCATTTTTTTTCCAGATATGCATCATTCCTCATCCTCCACTCTTCAATGGAAATTAAAATGTCTGGATCTGCATCATTTTTCATATCCACTTTCAGATCTGTTGAATCAACATAGTCTTCTTCTTAACATCTTTTTCCACTTCTTTTATGTTTGCTGGTTGTAAATCTACTCATTTCAAACAAAGATATACCCAAAAATTAACATTTTTAAAAAGTAACATTTTGTTCTTATATTTTTCTTTTTGTTGTATGAAGAAATTCTATATGTATTTAGGTTTTCTAATGAGCTGTGAGTAATTAGTTGACTTGAATAAGGTTTTTGATTTAGGTTTTGTGAGTAATTAGTTGAGTTGAATAAGGTTTTCGATTTAGGTTTTGGTTTTAATGTTGCTGATTTATTTTTTTATTCTGAGGATTATATGACATTAAAATATTTATTCAGATTCATGTATTATTTCTCTTGAACATCTCTAATTTTTTAAAGTTTATTTGTCATATCAGTAACCAATAATAGAATGACAATAAAGTTGAAATAAATAAATTAATATTTTATCTGTTTACCGTGAAAATTAGTAAACAACTGCTGATTTTCTAATTCAAAAAAAAATTTGATTATTTACCGGACCGACCATATTGATCTTAGGACTATGTGTTAGTAAATTTTAAAATAAAATTTGGAAAATAGTGAATAATTCGACAATATTCATGATCTAAAAATTAACAATTTTAAAAATTCAAAGAAAACATATTGTAGAAACTTAATAAAAAAGCAAATAAATGCATTGAAAATAACTTAGGCAAGAAGAAGATAAATTTGAATTAGTGTAAAGATACGGTGTTTCATCAAACGTGCATTTTCTTAACACACTATTTTCTCTGCACAGTACTTTGAGTAATTCTAGAGATTTTGTACAACTTTGAACACACCAATCCTAACGCTAAGACTTCCTATTTATAATGATCGAAATAACTGCCTCTAACGGCCTTCCTATGTAAATAAGACAAGTGGCGCTCAACATGTCTTATTTTTTTGAAAATGCTCTACGAGTCTCTCAAAATTTGGATAAGAACAAAGTTTTCTCCTTTATTTGAATTCAAATCTTACTTTGAAACACCATCAGTAGTTTCATGTCGAGTCAACTTCCAAGACATAGAATATTTTTCCTAAATTAGTTCAACATATTCTCCTTGTACAAAAGGTGACTTCGACCGAAAACAACCAGGTTTCACAGTTTTGTCGAAGCTTCTCATAACTTCATATAGATCGTTTTCTGAAACGTCCCCTCAACTCACGTGAGACTCTTTGTCATTATCACGCCTCCTAGACCCTAGGAGATCATGGGGCTAGGCATTTAACTGCCACCATTTCATCAAGGATAGTGTGAACTACACGTGTCCGACTCCAATTTTAACCATTAATGTCATCTTGGAACCGCTCCCAATTCCATCCTTATAAATACTCCCTTTTTCATTTCTTTTCACTTTTTTTTTTTTACATTTTATGAATTCTCATCTCTCACAATCTTCTTCTACCTCAACGAACCTATTTTTTCCCTCTTCACTTTCAACAATGGCTTCATCAACCCGATCCACCAAAGATGTCAACAAAGCCACTAAGGAATCCACTAAGCCTTTAAAGATCCTTAAGAAGATTTCTCAGCTTCCTCCATTTGACCCGATGACTGGTCCAACTATGGTGGAAAATCAACAATATCTGCCTGAACCGCTTGCTGAGGAAAAGAGAAGAATGTATGACTCACAGGTACTTATTCCTTTCACTGTCGTTGATACGCCTTTGGCTTTGTTAGGTCATTTATCTAATGTTAATGTTGATCCTAGCAAACTTAGGGATTTCTTTCCAACTTACTATTAATACAAACCCATAGGTCATGCCAAAAAACCTAGGGCTAGTAATGAGGATCCCAATCCCGCTAATCAGAGCAACCCTCCGACTGAAGAGGCAACTGACCTTATGTACATGAATAATTTTAGGGTATTTCGAGCAAGCTCATCTTTTAAGGATCCCTCTGATTATCTAGGATGGTTAGAGAAATTGGAGAAAACAAAGTCCCAAGTCTGGAAAGGCATGGGCATTTTTGATTTGGTTATGCTATCGAAAGTAGGCCTTGACTACTGTTCGAACATGCTTGTCTCTTCTTTGTATTTTTGGGACAACACCCATTACACTCTCCATCTTCCCTGTGGAATGATGACCCCATCTTATTCAACGTAGCCGCTATCACAAGGCTCAAACTGGCTGGCAACACATATGACCCCGTCTACATGTCTGATGATAGCATAAACTTTATAGCCTTTAGGGAAGCATATTCGACCCACATAGAACATTACCATGACAAAGATGTAGATGAGGTATCTGAGGTAGAGAACATATCCTTCCTAGTATTATGGTTGTCTCGCTGTGTCTTCTGTTCGAAGTCACTCAAAGTAGCCAGGAAATTCTTAACCATGGCGAACCAACTCCATTCTGGCCATAATCTATGTTTGAGTGAACTGATTCTGGCCAATTTTTATGAATCTATGAGCGAAGGTGTTACCAACTAAAGTGTCTAGGGGACAAAGGGAATCTTATCTTCTCCGGGCCTTTCTGGCGTGAGTGCTTCATTCGAAGCTTGCCTTCCTTACAAGAATCTAATTAATGAAGATGTTGATGAAGTGAAGAACAAGAGAGTCAAAGGTCCACACTTGGCCAAATGAACTCCTAGTGAAGAAGGTCGACCTATGCAACAA